AAAGCATTGCTTCCACGTTCGAGGAAAACTAAAGTTTCAAGTTCTCATCAGATTAATGTTATCCGATATTATGATGAAGGTAAATGAAGTTGAAGTGAAAGTGAGTTTGTGTTCAGCTCACTGGATGGTTCAAAGGGTGGAGTACCCAACATCGAAAGTTGCCCGGACGCTGGCTTCAGGGCGTTCATAGATATTAAAAATCCAAAAATTGTAATTCAAGTATTGTTTGACTAGTGATGGACGTGTCGTAAAATTGAGTTGAAAACAGATAGTATCTTATGGTTACATCTACATTCTTTGCTCATTATGTTTTTCAAACTCAATCAAATTTGAAGTCTTTACTTTTGGGCAAATAAAGATATCAAAATATATGCTCTTATATATTTTTATCTCAATTTCAGTATGCTAATGATGAATGCGATTTCGGAGAGGGCTTGGAGCTTGGCTACTGGTTGTTTCTCGCTAATCACCAAATGCTGGATAAAATTGCGCATCGTTTGCTGTCTACTGCCTATACCTTGTTGAAAAGGAATGAGTACAAAGCGATTCTCGATGCTCAGATGGCCCCAGGTATTCGGAGAAGAACTGAACTCGATATGCGGAAGCTAAGAGAAACGAGTTAGCAGTACTAACAAGGCTTCCGATAGCTGCTATCTATCTCTTTGTATATCTAACTTTTGCACATTGTGTAGTTCGCGTGCAGTCAATGTTGGATCAAAACAACGTTTGAGCAACGAAATTACCTATGATCACATTTGTTTATCTCTGATATACTAGTGATATTGAAGAATAAATATCATAATGATGAACTTGAGCAGATCATACATATGTTACATTTCATGAGTATCTTGAAATATGATATTGATTCCCACGATTTATGTACACACGTGTTCCATTCTTAGTTTGGAGTGCAGTATAGATCGAGCAGCTTTTGGTCTCATATGTTATTTGAGAAGACCCCGGAATGACAGACATCAAGGTTGCGAATTACTTTTCTCTGTTTTCTGGTTTACTTTTCTGAGTTTTTATATCATAGTTTATTGTACTAATATAGTTTTTGGAAAAAGTTAATGCCTCTACTTTCTCCCTTCGGGTTTACGTTATGGATGATTAAAAAGGATTGATGGAGGACTGTTTATATCGACTAAACACGCATGTAAAAAGGTCATAATCAATGTAATAGGGGGATGGGATTCTAAGAACCTTTGCAAATAACCAGCTCAAAGATGCTTAAGAATGACGGGATAACTGCGGAACTACTAGAATACGAATTTGCTGGAGCAGCTTTCTAGCGTAGAGTTGGTTTTTTTTCATCCTAAGCATAATCAATGAGATAAAT